AGGGAAGATGCTAAGATCTTCTCTAAGGCACATAAGGAAGCCAAAATTTTCCAGAATGACAACACAATTCCCAAATAACTATGCAAGTATTGCAAGAATATTTAGCATACTGTATATATGTTTTCAAGCAACTCATTAAATCGTGGATGACTCTTGAATGGCAGAAAGACCTCCTGTCGGTGCATTATTGCATATACAACCTGTTAAAAAACAAATTAGAAAATGAATGCAACAACTATTATGATCTGCACAAAAAAAAAAAAAGATTTTCTCACACAAGCAAAATGTCCTGGACACAATACCTCAGGATTCCGAGGCAAAGCATATGTGATGATTGCGTTTAGAATCTCCAATACTATTCTTAAGAAATCTGTATAAATATGAAGCTCCGTCGACTGCAACAGATTCAATATCGCTTCATTAGACAATCATAAAAAGCCAAGGAGGAAATTGGTACTACTAAATTGTCCTGATTCTAGTTTCTAAAAATAAATGGCAAGAAGGTTAACACCATTAGATTCAAAAGTAGAAACCTACCATGTCTTCAGTCGTACTGTCTCCATCTTGCTCAGAAGTAATTTTATGAATTTTATCATTTTTCAATTCTGCAAGTTTGGTATACCTGAGAAAGAAATTGAACAGAATAGGGGGAAACTATTCAGTGTCTCTCGAGAAATTACTGAAATTTGCTAAATTTGCTGCAGAAGAGAAGCAAAGTTCAGAGAAAAGAAGCATATACTTGCGAGAGAGCATATCAAAAAGGCTAACCAGCCTCTGGGATGCATATGCACTTAATCTGTGAACGTGAGGAGCCATGTTTGCCAGGATCGCCAAACAGTTGGTATGAAGGTAGACATCCTAAAAATATCTCCCATGTCAACAATTTCAAAATGAATAGTTTATTTCAGCAATAGCAATCTTCCTATAATTTCTATAAAATTCAAGCTTCACATAAAGTCAAGCAATGGATTATGATATACCATGAATCCCAAGAAGCAAGAAAGTTTCGTACTTCCAAGTTTAAGTTCTCCACTAGATGTGGAGAATTGATTAGAACATAAATAACAGAGAATTCTTATTAAAGCATTTTAGCTCTGCAATATGCAGCATATAATATTCCTTAATCACCGTGGTACGAGTATCAAATATCAAGATCATGCAAGTGCCAGACAAGGCAGCAAACCAACTGATGACCAGGACATGTAAGGCATACACAGCGGCACTGCCAGGTCCCCCCCCCACACACACGCACACCCACCCCAGCACACACAAAAAATGATGCATGTGTAAGGAAAAGGAGAGTGGAGAAGACAGCAGATGAAGAAGAAAAATGTTATATTGGCAGAAACGGAGAAAACCAAGTTCCTAAGGCATGGCCCCCACCCCCCCCCCCCCCTCCTCAATGGAAAAGGTGACAATAAATTTATGCTTGCATGTCAAAAGTACGATGATAACTCAGGCATATCCAGGTATGAACGATAACTCAGGCATATCCAGGTATGAACAAATGCAAAACAAAACATGACCAACTAATCCATTACTCCCCTAGAACTCAGTAAATAGGTAAAAATCTAACCAGACCTCCGAGGGAAGTACAGAACTGAAACAAACAAATCAAAACAGAACAAGAATACAAGAAAACAGAGCTCTTATGGTCTTTATTGGAACGTAATATCAACCAAATATCTCCTTGTAACAACTTGGGGGCAGGGGATGAGCTTCAAATCTATACAACGTTTAATATCTTTCTTGCCGAAGTCTATATATACGCAGCAGCCAGAAACAAGCTTCTCCTGAAGCAGCTTGTTGGCTTTTTAGGTCTAACTCTACACCATTTTTTGAAACCACTTAATGAACAGGGGCCAATCTCTAATAGGAGTTCTCAATCCCATTACTCGCAAGAAAACTACAATCAACTCTTGAGAGTAATGACATTGGAAAACAAGTGGTTTATAGTCTCTATGGCAATAGCACATAATACACATCTATCATCTTGTTGAAAGCCAATTTTCAACATCCACTCCTTAGTTCTAATTCTATTCAAAGTACTAAGCCATGTTATGGAGGGTCTACCGTCTAGGACTATAAGCATACCTCCTTTTCCTTACATTGTTCTAAACCGTTCAACTTTATCATGTGCACAGACATGATTCATATGCACTCTTACAAACTGGCTTTTCTCAACAGTGTTCTAGCAAGCACTTTTCAGCCTAACAAGTCAATTATCACTAGCACTCTCGGAAGGTAACAAATGAAAACTTAAAAACTTTGACGAAAAGGCTTCCATAAACCCAGTTTTCCCAACCCTCCCTCCCTAGATTCATCATCATTTCAGACAGGAGACTAACTCAAATCAGGTGAAAGATGATTGCAAGAGTGGAAGTAAGCTACTTGATAATGAGTGGGAAATTCCCAATTCTTAATGTTATATCGTTTAGGCTAAATAGCACTTATATACCCTATTGTTTCATCTATTATACACTTATACACCCACACTTGTATTTGGTAGCAAGAGAATATCCTAAAGTTTTTTAAACTTGCACTTATATACATTCACTTGTTATTGGTCGCACTAAGATACCCTAAAGTTATGAAAACTTGCACTTAAATACCCTAAAGTTCTTAAAATTGGCACTTAAATACCCTAAAGGTTTTAAAATTTGCACTTAAATACCCTCATGTTTGCATAATTAAGGGTATTTATGTGCAAATTTTAAAACCTTTAGGGTATTTAAGTGCTAGTTGTAAAAACTTTAGGGTATTTAAGTGCCACCAAAAAGTTTGGGTATATATGTGCAAGTTTAAAGAACTTTAGGGTATTCTTTTGCTACCAAATATAAGTTGGGGTATACAAGTCAAAAGTAGGTGAAACAATAGGGTATATAGGTGCTATTTAGCCTATTATTTATTTCAGATGATGAAATTGTGTATACGATGTATTCTTCCTACTCTCTACTTTTCATCATTCAAGAAAATACAAGACTCATCCTTTCAATCTATTTAGAGTTTTGATTTTGGGTTTTACTCCAGTTCCTTATGACTTCGCCTAGAGTGGGAGGTTTTTTCTATTATAGGATTTTAGAAGTTTTCTTAAGGAACTCTATCATTGACCAATCTTGAATTGACTTAATACTTAGAACTCTACTGCATTTGTACAAGTAAAATATTCTCCTTTCCTCAGCTAGCTAGGACTACTAACAAGTCTCCAGGAACTCAGAATCCTATCAGCTGAAATAGAATTTTAGATTCTGAATTCAAACGAGATCTGGATATACTGACACATTTAACAGCTTGACTTGTTCAGCAATCAGTCCATAACAACTTCAGGTCACATCTGTTTCACGTAAACTTGGAGTTGTTGTAAAGCTAAAGAAACAATCTTTCAGAAGGTGTTAATCCTATCTTAAAATTATTTGTCTGCTGCTGCCAGTAACTCCAAAACCATTGTCATTCGTAATTCAAGATCATGGATCAGCAGCAGAGAATCCCTTGATTTTCTGGAGTTATACCCCCTAACAACTGTACTCTGTGGTTTAACTGATTATTCTTCACAAATAGTTCTCCATCAGGATGTTAGTCGCACAACATCGTCGATCTCGGCCAAAGTTGCCTCCATTGTTTTATCACGAGACATAACCTCCGTGTGAGCATCATATGATTGCATAGTGTTGTTCTTGTTTCGGTTGTAGGAAAGACAATGTAAAGCTTGTTTTTGCGCAGAGCTAGTACAAGAGAACTTACGATGTCAGTAGCCCTTCAGGCAGAGCTAGTGCTATTACAGTACAAGGGTGTCAAGTGTGAATCGGGATGTTTAAGATACTGACTAGTGTTTTGTGTGTGCGTGAGTGTACTATAGTCAATTTATACATATACTGATTACAAGGAATTGCATTCACCTATGAGCACGAGACTACATGGTCTTAATCGTACAGACAAACATGAAGACAGAACAAGTTTAAGGAGAATTGAATGCTCAGTTTTTGTATGGGTGAAAAAAGTGTTCAGGGCACTAGCATGCAAGCCATATAACAATGCAAGCAGATAATTTCAATAAGCAAATGAAGTGGCCATCATACAATGTAAAAGTGGAGTTATTAAAATGAATGTTTGCAGCAAACTCATAATGCATCAGAATATTTAAAACTTTTTAGAGATATAGTTGCAAACACAGGAGTACAAGTTAAATCTCTTATAAGATATCCCAGGTAAGAAATACATCAAAATTTTCAAAAATACAAATTTCCAATTAAATGAATGTTAAAGAAGTATCGAAGGATTCCCTCACCCGCAACTTGGAGAGATTGTACTTCACAGTTCTTATAAGTATAACAACCATCAAAGAACCAAGAGATGTATGATGGAGAAGACGCTCTTTATACCATGGAACATTTAGAAGAATCTGTAAATGCAAATTAACTGCCTGACTCTGCCAAATTATGAAACTTTTACCATGTACTATCAAATTATGATACTGGCTCTTACCAGCTTGTGAATGCTAGCATTGAAAGATGAGTCCTGACTAAGAATGAGGAGGATAATTAACAACATGTAGATTTGATTGGACGTCCTCCTTGAAGCATTGTAAAGCGTTTCGAGGATCGGCATCAACTATCGACAATTTTGACAAATGAAAACATGATTAATTAGTGTAAAAAACAAAACGAAACTTGCTTAAGAAGATAAAGTACATCCCTACATGCACAAGTACGAGACCAAGAACATCTAAATCTCGACTGAGTGTGATCTTAACACAACATGTATCAAGATTTTCTGCCATTAGATTCATGGAACACAAATTTGCAAATCATTCTTTGCAATTACCCTAAATTCAATTAACCGCACCATTCATGCCTAAAAAAGACAGGTATAAATTAAATCATCATGTGGGACTAGATAAGTACCAATGTATCCAAATCAGTTCGCACCAAGACGTACTCCAGAAAATCAGAGTTTCCATGGAGCAAGGAATAGAGTAGCAAGACAGAGCTCTCTTCAGCCAAGCACCTTCACAAACAAATCCATCATGATGAATAAAAAATGCAATGTGGTAGAAAGAACTACTAGTTATGCAAGAGATTTCATGATTCAACTATCCGCATATGGTCTTCTTATTCCAGGTCCTGGGCAACCTTATATCAGATCTTGGGTGAATGATCACATGTTCTCTAACAGGAATACAGGCAGGGTGAAAATTGTGAAACTTGGTTGACCAAATTCCGGTGAATAGTTGCATCATTATCATATCTAAATCAAAAGTATATATTAAACATAGCTTATGTAATTGCATATACAAAAGAATAACATGTCCCAAAAAGGAGTAACCAACAATATTGAGAACTGCGTACAAAAACAATTAATGGACAGTGGGATGGAAATTGATAAATTCCAAGCTTATGACATTAGAGGCAAGAGAAAATTGTATAGTATAACCAAAAAAATATTGGGGAATATTCGCATGTTCAAGATTATATTGGGGAATATTCATATGTTCAAGATTTATATATTATATATATGCTGACTATTAACTATATTGATGTAGTTGAACATACAAAAGGATTCAACAAAAAACACAAAAGCCTCAAATAGACGACAAACATCAACACAAACCCATGGATGATTGTGAATGTCCAATAAAATAGAAATTGTTAAATGATTATTGATGTACAGTTGATTAATTCCAGAATAGCTCAAAACAACTCATGCATTTCCAATGTTAAAGGACATCAATTCAAGCAGAGCAGAAATGTGCATTCTTTGATCATAAAGTACAAACTTTTAAATTTGACGAAGGATATAGAAAAATAGAAATAGTTATTGGTATAAGTTGATTAATTCCAGAAATAGCTCAAAACAACTCATGCATTTCTAATGCTAGAGGACATCACTTCAAGCATAGCAAAATTGCACAATCTTTGTCATAAAATGTACAAACCTTTAAAATGCTTCACTTTTAAAATGAAATTTCCTATAAAAGGGTCTATCATTTTTTATAAAAAAAAGAAGACTAGGTTTATCTGCAAAAGAGTACCATAAGAAAATACAATAGTCCTAGGTATTGAGGACGGTGTATTCTTTGAACTAACAGATTTCAGATTCAATTCAATCATCAATGCATATAGAATAGAAGTTTCGTCTGAGGAAATATATATACTTCTCATACTAGTTTTCAGGTAGGTTTAAAAACTTCAAATCCATTGACATGTTACCATAGAAAAACTGATGCTAATTAAACTTTTGGTAGTATATTATGGATCATTTCAGTAAATTGTGCATGTTTCTGTTACTAAATTACAAACACTGGAACAGTAAAAACAGTAGCTACATCCAATAGTTGCATGATGCGAGAAGTATCTGTGAACCTGTAACCAATTACACCAACTTATTCATAAATTATATATGTATGTATGTATTTATATCATGTAATGTATGTATGTATTAAGCCATTAATCTAGCACATCATGTCTCCTACAGCCACCAAAAGAAATATATACATCAAATTCCTTTACTAGTCACGCTGTTATAGTTCTCCTTCAGCTACATTAAGGTCCATCATCACATGGGATGCCAAAAAAGAGTGTTTTAGTACTCGTCTAGAAACCAACCAAGTTTTGCTAGCTTAAGGCAGCCTATCACAAACTTCCTCTATCCTGGCTTACACACTTGAAGAAGATACCAATGTGAGATGAAAGAATAACCAACAGTAACTCATCACCTCATAGCAGAGCCTAAGCTCTCTTTTTTTTTTTTTTTGACTGACCAAAATTTTTGGAACTTTCTATGATTACTACAAAGTTGTGGTATCCATAAAGCATATGTTACCCCATTGGGCCACTGCAGAAAACAAACATATCTAAACTTTACTGGAGAACTGATTTATGCAGCTCATACAAGTTTTATACAAGTTCTAACTTTATGCAGAACCAAGAAACCAGATGTGCATTTTTCCCATGGGAATTAATAGTCCTTCATTGGTGTATATAAGCAATATCTTCTAAGGAATGATGCTCTCGTAATTGAAATTTTTAAGTTAAAATCATGAAGCCTTTCCAAGAGCATGTCTAACAAATATAAATAGAATAGTTATCAGACATAACAGGTTAGGAGTCCTAGCATAGGATTGCCACAGTTGTCAAGTAACACATGAATTATAAATAAGTATATTGATTGAAAGTTTAACAAATATAAACACTACTCATGGATTATAAGGCAAGTGAAAATATAAATGGTTCTTACAATCCAAGTGTGTCAAACAAGGATGCAAAAGGTAATCTCACAAGTGGTCCATTCTGTGCATTCCCCTCTATATCAACGCGATCAACTGAAATCAAACAAGTAATGATTATGCGCAAGGATGTAATTAACATAGCTTGAACACGGAGATGAATGTCTTACATTCAATATCTCGAGCATTTTCAAGAGCCTTGCAGTAAGGGTTGTCATAAAAGACTGAATTCTCCTTCAAATAGGTACGAGAGTCAACATCCTCTAAGTTATTATTTGCAGTGGACATATCCACCTTAACACACTTTCTGTAATGAATAAGAATAAGCAAAACAAGTAGACTGATGTCTGCCAATGGACTTCTTGAAACTTCTCCACTTGAACTAACTAGATAGTTGAATGTATAGTATGGCAATAACACAAAGTTTGCTGCAAAAACACACAAATAAGAAGAGCACAGAATCAACAGCAAGAAACTAATGGAGAACAAATTAGGAGGTACACAACAAGGTAGAGGCCATAACCAAAAAGTTCTGCTTGCTAAAACATTTAAAGAAACTCTAAAAAAGACTTTATTGCTCTTACACAAGAGTATGAATTCCTTACTTCCTTTTACCTTAACAGAAATTAATACCCCAAGTTATCTTGCAGTTTTGTATTTAAACTTTTGATTTAACATCTTTTGCAGATTCTATTATGATGTCGAGAGGCTTAATTTTATATTATGATAAATGCTCAGTTAACAAGTGAACATGCAACCAAGAAATAAGAGCAATAGTTACTGTCGTGCCACCATCACTAAATGATTATAGCACCAAAACTACTATATATCTCTAGAACTTCTGATGACATTTAAGATGAAAATATAAGATGGCTAGGTTGGTATTTAACAGGTATCAGCTTTCGTCTAGGGGAAAGAGACATCTTCTAAGACATTTATTCTTGTATTTTTCATCACCATAACTGAAAGCAATGATCCTTCAGAAGGACCAAAATAGAAAGCTAAGAATCCACTGACATCATGTAATCTTTACATAGCCTTTTTGTTTCATGTTCGAATTTGATGGCCACAGTACCCTTAGGAAGGAATACTATGAGAAAGCTGGTAACAACTGCTGATCCCACATGGAATAGGTCATTTACTCAGCATGTAACAACTGCATTTGACAATGTATTCACAGTGATAGTAGGTTGACAGACATGCCAATCAGCAATGCTACCACGATTAGTGATAGACAACAGGACATGGTATCTGATGTACCATATCCAATTCAATATCCAGTGATTGAACTATGGAGGTATTCAACCAATGAAAAAGCATAAAAACAAAGTTGCACACAGTTAAAATAAGATGGCAAAGAATGAAGTAACCGTACCAGCAGCAGAACCAACTCTCTGCAGAACACCTGGCTCGTTCCCATCTGAATAGACAGGATAGGCGGTACCCCTAAAAGGAATACGCGGTCTTGTGATAAAATTCAGCAATAGTCTGCGAACAACAGAAGTCACCACAGTACCTTCCTGCAGAATAAACCCAAAACGAGACTGCCATAAGCAAGTTTATGAATCCAGGGAAGAAGAAGATGATGATGATATCTGATCCTTTTTTCAGCACCTGAAGCATTGCAGCATCAATGAATGGATGCACATCCTTTGGAGCTGGGGTTGGCCCTGAACAAAGTTGGGTTGACATGGCCACCATCATAAAGTTCAGGAGTTCATGATGGAGAAGGCAAGAGTGAGCACTTGCAATAAAAATACAGGTGCAAATCAGAAGCATAAAATATGGATAGCCTTAGAAGATAAATAAGATATTTAAAGAGGAAGTCAGGAATGTACTTTACATCTGATGTACCAATGAAATTAAGTACACCTTGCATAACATAACTCTCAATCCTTTCACCTGCACCAAAAACAAGCTATAAGATAAACTACAGACAGAAATCTCAGAAATCTCATACTAAAAATAAACTAATTTTTCTAAAATAATCTGATGAAAATAAAGGACACTGTTTGGAACTAATGATAGATCTAAACTTGAAATCCATATTACATAAAAAAAAAAAAATTACATCATGAAGCCAAAAGAGCATCCAGTCAAAACACAGAAAAAAATTACTAAACTGGCAGATACATATCAACTATGAATGGAGCGATGAAACATTACCCAAAGGCAAAATGTTCTGCCCTGCTTCGGCATCATCCAGGCTAAGATACAGTTCTTCAAAGGTATCAGTTGTTGCATTTTCAATAATGAACTTGAGAAATACAGATGATATGTATGTTGCATTCACAGCCTTCATATAACTCAAAGATGATCCTGAAGCAGTCGTCATGCACTCTTGCAAACACCAAACCATGTGAACCAAAATTTTCGCAAGGTGTCTTGTTTGATAGTTATTCTGCGCTGTATCATGCAAATTAAAAGCAATTAGGAATAAATGACAGCGGAATTAAAATCTAACTTGGCACAAAAAATTGTCGCAAGAATGGAAGTGATAAGATGAACTGAAAGATGTGATTGTTCACATAGCCAAAAAAAGACGCAGTCTTGCAAACACCAAACCATGTGAACGAAAACTTTTGCAAGGTGTCTTATTTGATAGTTATTTTGAATCATGCATACTAAAAGCAAATAGGAATAATTGCCAGCAGAATTAAAATCTAACGTGGCACAAAAGAGTGTTGCTAACATTTAAGTGATAAGATGAACTGAAGGATGTGATTTTCCTCATGGCCAAAAAAGAAACAGACAAGATAACTGCATATAAAAAAGGGGTTGAAGATACATAAAATGTTTCATACCTCAATTTAAGAGTCAAATTAAGATTAGAATGTCCATCGACATAAAAACCAATGATAACCTAAGAAATGAGAATTCAATATAGAAGCTTCAGACATGAGAATTCATTAAGATTACAGGCATAGACCTCACACTTATTCAGGCTTCCTTTCATGTTCTTTCACAGATTTCATGGAAATACTACAAGTTAGAGTGAAACGTCTGTTAATGAATCATCTAGTGCTCTAAAAGTAGGCTGGCATGTCAAATATGCTGGTTTTTAGCTACTGGAGCAACTGTATGGCCAATTGCAGAGTGAATGTTGTTTTTTTTATTGAAATCGACGACATGCCAGCTGAGCCCTGATATTTTATTATTCTACTTTTTTCAGAGAGCAGTAATTTACCTTATTTTAGGTACTCTTTATTTTTCTTTTCTTTTTTTCTATTTTGTTTTTTTTCTTGTGGGTGTGCAAAAAGCTGTCAACAGGATGGAATAACCTCTGTCTCACTTTTTGCCCTCTCTTCCCCCATGGCTGTGTTATTGCAATTGAACTGGCACAAAAGAACTTTATGTTCTTCGTTAAAGGTGTTCTAAGTTCTCTTACTGATTTGACACTAGAACCAAACCCATGAATGTCCGCATGCACATGTTGTATTACACTGACAAGAGTTTACTTTCAAACTTTGATGCTTTTACAATTCCTATTGACTGTTGGATGCTACAGGTATTTAGGTAACAAGTTCTTGATTTAAGAGAACTTTCAACTTTCATACTAAAGTACAAAACTTATAAATCTACCAAGGTTTTAAATATCGGTTATCGAGGATTTATCAGACGGTCAAAATCCATATCGGATATCAGATATAGGGGAAATATCAGGGATAAGTAGTATTTATCAGAGTGATATTACCGGATGGTGTGTATACATAATATAATATCCTAAGATGTGATCTAACCATACCTAATGAAATATAGACATACCAAAATATAAATAATTATGTTTAGAATCATTAACCAATGGTAGAAACTTGCTTCTTGATCGCACGATGAAACCATTCAAGTGCATAGTTAGTAAAAATGGAATAACATACAAGCAAATAACAAGATAACATAAAGAATGAAGAATCATCAACATAATTATTGTGCAATCATGAGATTATAAACTAACTTACCAAGTTGAGATTTATGAGCCATGTCAATATTCATAAACAAACATAAGCTAATCATCAAACAACCAAGTTCCAAAAGCAACAAATAGTTTATAATTTTTGAACATCCAAAGAGCAAACCCAAACCCAAATTAAAGGCTGATAATTTTAATATTTTGAGCCGACAATATTGGCTGATAACTCACATTATCGCCGCATTATCGCCGATAAACATCGAAAAACGATAACCGATTTAAAATCAAACTTATCATAATGGAAGGCCCCCAAAAACGATAAATCGCCGATAATGTTGGTTAATCGGCCGATATTTAAAACATTGATATTTACTTCCCTACTATTTTTAGATAAAATGCATACAGTCTTCTATGTATTACTAAAACAAGTGGAAGAGACAAAGCAAGATTCTTAGTCAGAGTGGCATGTTGATATATGATCTTCCAAAGGCCCTTAAGACTAAGAAAGCAGAAATTATAGTGCAGTTCTTCCCTGGATTGCCTTTACTTTGTTGCCTCTTTGAGTAGTGCATCTCCAAGGGCAATCTTGTAGTTGATCTCTACTGTTGATTACTCACTCAAATATGTGTTTCAAGCCTGTAGGACAATTCCTCAAACAATGTCCTTATTTTGCATGCCGTTCTTTTCTTTGGTTGTCATCCTAGTAGTTAGTAGTCAATAGATCAGTTGGTCATAAATCTGTAAAGTTGAAAGCTTCCTTAGTTACGCAAATGTAGCACACAACCCTAGTCATTAGCTAGAATGCAGAGCTAACCTTCCAGTTGTCATCCTAGTAGTTAGTAGTCAATAGATCAGTTGGTCATAAACCTGTAAAGTTGAAAGCTTCCTTAGTTTTGCAAATGTAGCACCCAACCCTAGTCATTAGCTAGAATGCAGAGCTAACCTTCCACTTAAAATCCATGAAATACTAGGCCACGCCCTTGTCAATGCTGAAACCAAGAAAGCATCCGAATGTACAACCTTTTGTGTCAATTAGTAAGACATGTTTATTTTATGAAATTCACAGGAATGACAACCAACAATTCAACTACTCATGATCAGTGCATTCAACATAACCATCTACAAGCCATGTGAAAGCCATAACCTTCCCAAGGCTTCCTTCTAGACCCATCTTGTTGCAGTGCCTTTTAGTGCTAGCCTCCCTAAAACTTCTCTACAGAGAGTAACTAGCAACATGTATTCACTTTATAGAAGGCTGTTTTTTTTTTTTTTTTTTGGCTTGAAGCCCACACTCACTACCCACACTCCTGATCCTATAATACATATACTGAAACAAAATACCATGTGAATATCCTATAGAACAATTTTTCACTTTAGCCCTTTTAAATTTTTTTTATTATTAAAATCGACCCTTTTTTCTTTTATTTATCAAAACCGACCCGATTTCTTGATTAGCGGCTTAATCACATTCCTAATTAGTCGGGGTTGCCAACCCCGACTATTTAGGAGGGTCTTAAACCCTAATTAGAAGCCCTAAACCCTAAAAATTAATTTCCTAAATAGTCGGGGTTGGCAACCCCGACTAATTAGGAATGTGATTAAGCCGCTAATCAAGAAATCGGGTCGGTTTTGATAAATAAAAGAAAAAAAGGTCGATTTTAATAATAAAAAATTTTAATAGGGCTAAAGTGAAAAATTGTTCTATCCTATATCGTACAGAGCGGACAAATGTAGAAGATCACCTCATCTCCAACTTTTACAACTTACAAGGGTAATCAATCAAATGGACTCCTTTTGATAAGTAGCAACTGGATCTCTCACTCCGCTAACTAGATCTCATAATTTTCACTAACTATTCAAATTTCCAGCTTGCATGCAAGAACATAATTACTTAAACATCGACATTTGTGAAAAATAACAGAAAAATAATCAAGAATTCATTTCTCTTTGTGAGACTCACCAAAGATCTGGCAGGCTTCAGCAACGCGATGCTGCGGCCATTGGCGATCGAGGGGGAGCTCGAGCAGCTTCTTCCAGAACTCCGACGAGATCGGGTACGATTTCTCCCCGACGAACGCTCCGATCAAATGCTCCTCCGCCTCCGGCGGCCTCTCGCCGCTCCAGCGAGGCGTCGACGGAACCGCCCCCATTTCTATCGGAGACTGCTTGATTCGTATGTTGAACCCTAGATCCGTGAATTGAGTGGAGATGAGATCGAGGGCTTTAATGAGAGAAGACTTCAAATTTACAAAATTGTTTTGTTATTTTTTGGGGTTTTTCAGGTCGCTGAGGCGCGTGTATAAGTGACGGCAGGTGAAGTTGAGATTAAGAAATGACATATCTACCCTCGACTTTCTGCGGATAACGGCATGAAAGCCTGTAGAAAGGTAGGGGTATTTTGTCTTTTATTGGGAGTACTCGAATTTAGTCGGTGAGAGATTCATTTTCCTTTTTTTATAATTGTGAGAAGCTAAAACTTCTTTTTTAAGAAATTTTAGTCCTCCTTTTCCTAACGCAAGTCAGTCAATGCCAAAATTTTCCAATGAAGAACGTGGCAGTGGAGCGATGAAGACGCATTGATTAATTTTATCATTTTTTGATTAACTTATTGCCTAAGTAATTTAAAGTTTGAGGAGTAGGAAGATTTGTTTATTTATTCGAAAAGACTTTTCTCTCACACATTTTAGTTTACTAGGTCTTGTGCACGTACAATGCATGTGGTTAAATATCAAAATAATTTTTTTTATTTATTTTCTTACTATAAAATAAGTCAGATCCATTTTGAGTTAAAATCTATAAACATGGATTATTACATTTACAATAAATTTTATTTAAATATTTTTTAAAAATTTATGAAATACATGATTAATTTCGAAAACATATTGGGGCTAGGAATAAACAACTAACAAGTTTGCAATGGAAGCTAGGGGAACGTAGTACATTCTTAAGAATTATTAATCTTTACTTAGTTTGTTTATGATGATAGGATCTCATTATTAACTAACTACAAGGCCTAGTACATTATTTTTTTTGTTGGACCCATGTGAGCTCTCATTGCAATGAATATTATATAATTTAAATACAAAAGAAAAAAGCGGGTTGATCAATGGTGTAGTTTGTAAGGGGAAACTCTAGTAGCTTAATTTTGTATGTGAATATATTATAGATGGAGATGTAGAATGGTGGTTTTGAAAATAGTGGGTGTGTGTGGGTAATTAATATGGTTTATATTTGTGTGGTTTTCTTCGTTCATTTTCAAACTATTTGTGATCTTGTGGATATATATATAGCTATAGTATTGATACTCTCTTTTGATTTTGTGGAAGAGTTTGGATGTTAAAAAAATTAAATTATCTAATCCGGTTAAAGTAGGATCATATAAGTTAAGCTCATACATGAAATTTATTTTAACCACCACTCATGTGTAAATATTACAATTGGCATTGAGATCTAAAATATGTGTGAGATTCTCTTTGATTTTTATGCAAACAATATCTATTTAAATAATAATAGTATAATTAAACTTTGTGATCTGAAAAAAGATTAAACATACAATATAAGTAATTGCTAAAAAGTAATCTAATCTAATCTAATAAGAAGAAAATAGATAAAAATGATGTGGAAGTTATTGCAATTTTATAATTTATAATTTTTAAACAATCTAATCTAATCTAATAAGAAGAAAACAACAAATGCACACACCTGTTGAAAGAGATGAAAGTACTATGAAAATTATTACAATTTTAATTTTAAAAATAGATCAAACATACAATATAATTAATTGCTTTAAAATAATCTAATCTAAGATAAATAAGAAGAAAATAGATGACAGTGCTGTGAAAATTGTTGATATTTCTTGATATAAAAAAGATTAAATATATAATATAATTAATTACTTTAAAATAATATAATCTAATCTAATAAGAAGAAAATAACAAAGGCATATATCTGTAGAAGAAGATGAAAGTGCTATGGAAATTGTTGTAATTTCTTGGCTTATATATATTGGTATGTGATGTTACATATGAGAGGATAACAACTGTAAATAGATTTCTATTTAAATAATAAGAGTATAATTAAACTTTAAAACTAATTATGTAGTACCGTGAACTACTTAAATTTTAGTTGGTGAGATATCGCCACGTGTGTCCTCATATCGTAGCCATTTGTTTTAATTTTCCTTTTTTATAATTTTAAGAACGATTTTGTCTCTTTAATTTGTTTGGTGGATTTTACAAATACCTCATTCATATTATTTACATTTGTAGGTCTATGTTGTTCCTGGGTTCAACCTCTAGGTCGGACATTATTTGTCTCACTAATTTGTTTAGTTTTTGCATATACGCCCTTCATCTTGTATACATTTGTAAATTTGGTATTTAATAATTTCATTCAGGTTTATATTTCAATTTAAACTATATCATTATCTTCACACTATGTATATCCAATAAGAATTCATCAATTTATCAACTCACTCTCTTACTTAATGGATTAATATTTGAATTCTAATGATATTTTTGTTTACCAAAAGGTTTTTCTGAACTCGTCTTTTAAAAGGGGTATGATTTACTTACTAAACTTTGTTCTTCGGTTTCACATTGATGATTTTTACTCACTTATGTCTCTAAACTTTAGCACTGTGATTATTTATTGGACAAATTTTCAAAACTAACATGTTTAGAAACTTAATTGCAAAAACCAACCTATTTCCAAATAAATTACCAAAAATTCGACCCAGTTTCAGCCAGTTGGCTGAAACTAGGTTGAATTTGGCAAAAAAAATTATAAACCTTTACGGGACTTCAAGTCCCGTGAAGTTTCAGTCTGCTTTTCCAGAGAATATCGCTCTCTGGAAATTTTGCCTGCAACTCCACGGGACTTCAAGTCCCTGAAGTCCCGTGGAGTTAGGGCAAGGCCTATTTAAGGCCCACTCACGCACACGATTTCCCATCGCGTTAAAGTCCTATATATAGTGCTCTCTCTCCCTTTCACTATCAAACCCTAAACCTTTACTCCTGCCCTCCCCCTCACCACCGTCGTCACCTTAGCTAACCATCACCGCTGGTGATCGATCCAGCCGCCGTCACCATCGGAGTTCACCAGAAATTAGGGCACTAACAAATTTTAGGTAAAATCTTTAAAAAAATTATCCTAATTTTTTTATATATTCTCACTATTTCATGCTAATAACTTATTTAAATTTAGATTTTTTTGAAATAAATTTTAAAATATTTATGAATTTTCTGAAGAAAAATTAAAGAAATTTGTGGATAAATTTAGTGGGGAAATTATCAAAAATTGTAAAAGTTAGTGTATTTAAAGGTTTGACATTTGGTTAAAATTATGAATGTCTAAAATCAATATTAGCGGATTTAATGGTAAATAATATTTTTTGTGTTTTTTGTGTAATATTGATATTGGATTCTTTTTACTCTTCAGAGGTAACGATGAATGATCGAATCATAATTCTTTGTTCATATGATGAAAAGGTTAACTATCTTGAGCACAATATGCCCGTATATGAAGGAGGTCTGACAAAGCCGTTGTTTATATCAAAATAATGTACTTTTGATGAATTGGTTAATGACTTACACAAACTTACATTAACTAATTCACATGAGTATCACCTTAATATTATTTGTGTAGGCAATAAAAATTGCCTTTAAATCCTTATCAGAGAAGTTCAGAACAAAACTGCTAAAACCTCACCCGAAATAGCAAAAGAGGGGAAAACGCAGATATCTCCCAAACCGTAAGGAATTTGGCGAAATGGAGGAAGCGAACCGAAGCCTTCGGCTGGGTTCGGATGACTCCATCTCGTCGAGATAGGCGATTTTCATATATAACTCGTCCAATTCCGACTTACGGTTTGAAAGTTACGGCTTATTCTTCAATCCATGCTCAGCAGCTCGCTTGCAGCTCGAATCTGCCTGCAGTCCCAAATCCGCCTGCAGACCCAAGTCTGCCTGCTCGCCTGCAGCTCGAAATTCGCCTGCAGTCTCAAATCCGCCTGCAGACCCAAGTCTGCCTGCTCGCCTGCAGCTCGAAATTCGCCTGCAATCTCAGCTCGCCTGCAAGCTCGCCTGTAGACCCAAGTCTGCCTGCAGTCCTAAGCTCGCCTGCAGGCCCAAGCTGCAGACTCGCCAGCTCACTGTCAACTGCCCACTTGGAGTATGGGAACAGTTATATCAGTGGTCAAATCCCACAAATCAAGGGAGAGGGCACAATACTCCAGACCCGTCAGATGGCCGTCCACGGTACGAATGAGCGGACAGGCACCGAAACAGCCTGCACCCTCATAAATGCGGCTCACCTCAGTTGTCCAGGCGAAGGGACGAGAGCCGCCAACGCTCGGTGGTTGGTCAGATCCACGCAAGCATCTGACAGCCGTTGTCACGCATACGAGGAGGGGCTTTCCCACTCCTATGTAGCGTGATGCAGAGCACAGCTCTTCGAATGACCATTGACGGTACGAATGAACAGCAGGACGTCTCCGAACAACGTGTGGTCACATCCCATAATTCAAGGAGCAGTCAAGCTATCTCCCTCACCTCTATTAGTGGTCAAATCCCATGAATCAAGGGAGAGCCCATGCCATCCCTTGCCTGTTAAAACCCATCTTCAGCAGCATGAAGAAGGGGGATTGGCCGTTGCATATTCTGCTGGCTAATCTCCCAAAGGTTGAACCTGGACCTTTGCCAAAGGCTCCCTCATTTGAGAACCGAAGCTCCGGCTCCGGCATCAACTTCGATCGGATCGTCCAAGGGAAGCAGACTCGGCACGAGCACCGAGCGAGGCATCCTATCGCCACCTAAAGTCCCCACACAAAACAAAGAGGGCCTTCCCTCTGCTTCTGTTGTAAACATTTGATTTGTTAGTTTGTAATAAGCTTTCTTATAAATACAAACGAAACTCCTTTCTTCGGAAGAATCAAATTTTCACCCTACAGAAGATGGCGACCACAGTGGGAGAATCCGTTCATTCAGATGAATTGGTGGTGGCGCAGTCTGACGAAGTTGCTGCAGGGACTACTGTTGAGTCCCTTGTGATCAAATTCGAAGGGTACTTACAATCGTCCTCTTCTCGCAGCAATACATCTCGCGATGGTTGCAGAGTCGTGCGGGTGGCCCAGCCCCAAGAGGCTGAGGCAACCAAGCCTGAGGGATCTACCCAAGCCGAGGCAGGGGGTTCTTTTCCCCCCGAACCAGTTGAGGCCGAGCCGAGATTCGAGAATGCAGGTCTAGGGGCTGCTGAATGGGTCGATGAACGATCCTCGCAGACCCC